ACATATATCAAAATAGAATCTATACTTGTCTCACATAACCATCTAAACATAAGAGTACGAGAATTGGGACTTAGCCCTTACATCAACAAGTCTTGTAATACCAATTACAATAGAGTCTTTCAATAAGAAAAGTAGAACAAGAATCAAGCATCTCCATCCTCGGACCTGAGGAATCAGCAACTTGAGAATAACAATCCAAGTTTCTTCAAGAAAGGAGTGGAATCACCTCAATGGACCGAACCTACACTTTGTGTAGAAAAATAGGAGAAATATAGATTAGTACAAACCACATGTACTAAGTATGGAAACATATGCAAGTAAATCATTTGAAAACATACACAAAGGGACATTTTGTTTATAAGCACGCCATGTTAAATTTAAAAGCCTTTATGCACATCCCAAGAACATATATAAGTCCATATCACAACCACAATGAGACATATTCATATTCATGTTCAAGAGTAACATCATAATAAAGTCATAGTTAATATTTCATGTTTAGAGTCCATTTCGTCAATACATCACAAGACCTTACTCATAGCCCCAATCCAAGTCCACCAGTGCAATGTGTATGTGAAGTCCTATAACCCCACATAAACTAAGTAAAACTAATATAGAGACCATAAACATTGTCTTTTACCTCATACATCATCATAACAAGTGTAGTCAACATCATGCATGCCAATTTAGATGAACACCATGTATATCAAGTGAAACTAACATCATCCATACATATGAGACCAACATCATGCATTGCATATATACATAAAAAACTCACCCTAGAATTTCCCTCAAGGTCCACTTGTGCAATGTATAGGTAAAGTCTCATACCTTTACCTACACTAAGTAACTCCCCTTAAGTTGTCCTAGTTAGTGTTCATCTTCTTGCTCTCATTCATTAATTTTAACTTTCGAGAAACTTTGTCATAACCTACATAGACCATGTGAGCTAACATGGAATCTGGTGTCATCCTTTCACACCGAAAGGAGGGTGTTCTACTTTCCAACGTAAGACATATACATTCATATAACATCTGGGTGGATCCACTAGCTAAGGTTCCTATGGGGGCACATAGTTAAGGGACTAGGAGGTTATTAGTGAAAACCCTCTTTATGCTAACTAGCATTGTAGTTTCCACCTCATGAGAGAAGATAGTGTGAACCTCCATTCCTTTGTTAAGGAATACCTCTCAATGTCAAGTTCACTTGGACTAAGCTACAATTCCTTTTTTGAAGTATATTTAAGTCTTTCTTAACATTAATTCATAACATATCTCTTAGGAGTTTAGAACCTTATATAACATGTACATAGCTCACGGGTTATAAGATGAGAAAGACCTTTCATCACAACCAAATATCATGTGAGTACATTACTTCATATAATCATAAGATGTACATGAGGATTACCTTCAACCCCTTATAATAGCACACCTATCATTATCTCACAACCATCATTTTCATAGCATGATCACACATTCATAACTTCATCATTCATACTTCAATTAATCAACATTATTAAAAGTAAGTCAACAATACTACAATAACATGTTCATGACCTTGAAGATCTAACCAATGGCCAAGAAACCCATTCAAGAATTCACCCCTAAATCAATGATATTTACCCAACAAATCAATCATCATCATCATACAATAGTAAATTATTTATGAACATACTCAATTACATCATCTTTAACCATTAATCAACATAATTCAAGAGTTAAGGTTATGAGAAAAGGGACATTCATGGGTCTTTACGGAATTATTTCAAAACCTAAAGTAATACATCAATTCACTCATAAACATTCATACATTCATCATTATTAATCAAATCTAGACAAAATAAGTCAATTTTAAAGGTAACCCACGAATTGAAGTGAAAATTAGAAATTTGGAAAACATTCAAATTCAAGTTGAAGGAATCTCTTGGGGAAAAGAGTCCCAAGAGTGAAAAGTTCCCATACCTTATCAATCCTTAAGGATTTATGAATAAAAGTCTTGTTCTTGAAGCCCTAGAAAAAACCTGATCTTCTTTTTCTTCAATGGAGTCTTGAGTTGAGAGAGATTGAGAGAGAAAATGAGTTTTGAGTTGTCTTTTTGTGAGTTTTGTTAGAATGACTTGAGGTCTTGGGGTTAGGGTCTTATAGTCAGGTCTAGTTAGGTAATTAACTCACTAAATGCCCCTCCTAACACCTAGTTGAATAGCTAACTCGAGATAAGACCCTAAAATAAAAGTGAAAACTTACTTACCTGGCAGTGACTTACAGCCACCACCTACGGACAGTAGGTGGTGTTACGGCCCGTTCTGCTGGTCGTAAGTCTTGTCAGAGAGAGTGGAAAGGAGAAGAATTTGTGGGGAGACTAAGTCTCAAACCAAGAGCCTCACTTACGGGCATAAGCCTAGTGACGACTCGTCACTGCCTCCACAGGTCAAGATGTCATTTGACAGCTTTTTGGGTCAAATGATTGGGTCCTCCTCAAGGACCCCTAGGGTGGTCCTTGGGGGGTCGTACCTAAAATTTTTGACCCTTAAAATTTGATTTATATATATTTAAATAATTTTATAACATTTCATCCTCATAAGACACTTCAAAGCCCCTTACAACACCTAAGAACACACTAGTTCAATTTTACAATCTTTCGGTCGTCATGATCATTTCTTGACGTTTAGACTCTAATACCTCCTAACCAAATTAATTACATTAGGTTAGGTCTAGAACATCATTTTGACCATTTTTAGGTCATTAGACTCCATTAAAAGCTCTAGATTAAGTTATTGGATTTCCAAGGTGTAATACACACATGCACACACAATCGAGTTAATCTTATAGACAGGGAGACACGACACAAGGTTCACTAATAGAGCTCTGCTGCACACGATTTCCATCTCAAATCTTGCCTTGTTGAATGTTTGAAATTTAGTGCTTGAACAAATGGGGCATCAAATTCATCTCACGATTCTTATATAGCTATTTTTACTCTGTTTTGGCTTGTATTACTTCACTTTACATTTCAATCCATTCTATGAGTCGTTTGCTATTTTTTAATTTGAATTCAATCTAATCATATCTATTAGCTCATCACAACATATAATCAATGAATATAAAGATCTTCACAAGATTATACCTAGAAGCTAACTTAAAATGTGACTTAAATATGATGTTTGAATACATAAATATGTCCCAAATCACATATACAAACTCTTTCAAGCTAATTCATAATAAATATTGTCACATACTTAAACTTTTTGGAAACAAAAATGAAACCAACAACTCATAAGGAGAAAAAGAATGAGGCGCGTGGGATATATATGTGTGTGTGTGTGTATATATATATATATCAGTTTGTTTTTTTTGGGGTGATAGTGGAAAATTTGACAGATAAGTCACCCTTACTGCCACTCTACAGAACCGTACATGAGATTTTTTTTATCTTATTTTCGGTTCCAATTTTGTGGGAGCATTATGTTGAGTCACTCCAAGAGTAGAATCAGCAGCTCACCTCACGTTTTAGGAACCGAGGAATCACACGTAGACGGAATATATATATATATATATATATATATATATATATATATATATATTAACCTTTTGAGTGTATGGGTCTTTGACTCGTCTCATGTCTGTTTAGCGCAATAATTTGGGTCTAAGAACTCTTAAGTAGGTGATACACATACTAATCTTGATTTAGATGTTTTAGGGACGTCTAAAGCCCCAATCTTCAATTGGTGATATCTTTACCACAAGTTTATCTTCAAAAACATCAAAATGTCATGAAGTTAGTTAACTAAATCATTAATGTACGAAATTGATACTTTTTTTTTTGATAATAACCTTCTTCAATTGTTTATAATCATACACATTCACATAGAACCATTCTTCTTTATTCTCAAACAATACAAAACCCAAGGGACAACTTTGTTACTCAACAAATCCAGCAACAGAAATCATGAACAGAAGTGTTCAAAGTTAAGATCGAGTATATCGATATCAAGAAGTTGAGCAATTTGTTTAATAGAAGAGATTTCCAACTATGTAGAATTTATATTTTCAATTATGGAATACAAGTTTAGTTCTTCGGTGAACTAAAGAGTCGGTACCCTCAAATCAAATACCAAACTTTTGAAAAAATTAAATTATATTCTTATTGAAGAATCAATTATAATTAGCGACTTTGAAATAGAGGATGGATTATAGAATTACCTTATTAAATAAATCATTAACTCGTAAGAATTACCATATTTATATTTCTATATCTAGGTATATAAAATATCTATTGTAATTTCTAAGTATAAAGCTCCAATCAACACTTTATTCACTTCTTACTCGAATAATGAGCCATTCCTCGTCAATTGTTAGTCCTTAATCCTAAACACATAGTGTTCTTACTATTAATTTTATAACCAAAAGAGTTGTATAAAAAAATTTATCACAAATAATAATGTCAATTATTACGATTCTGTTGGTTATTTTTATATACGACATGCAACACATTTATTATTTCATATTTACACAGTACTCTTACAAAAGAATTAAAAGCTGTAATTTTCATTTCGTTGATAAAAGCTCTCTACACATAATAAGACTTTAATCTTTAAAAAATCAACAATAATGTACTTTTTTTTAAAATATTCCATCTATTTAAAAAAGAATGATCCTATTTCCTTTTTAGTCTTTTAAAAAAAGAATGACCCCTTTGTTTTTTTGGCAACACTTTAACTTTTACTTTCTACTTGACATGTTCAAGACCACAAGATTAAAGGACATTTTGATACATTTAATATAACTTTAATTTAGAACCACAAGATTTTCTTTCTTAAACTCTGTTTCAAATCAAACTAAGTTATCCTTTTTGAAACGGAGAGAGTAATAATTCGTGGATATCAAAACATCTTCTATTGCCACTTGATTAAAGAAAACAAACTAAATGAATGTCTATCAGTGCGGCCCCAAGTCCCAACATCTAATGCAATATAAATCTCACTGAAAAAAAAATATTTTTAAAAAAGAAGAGGAGAACATTAAGATCTAATTTGTATTTTTTAAAATAATTTTGTAGGTGTATACCCAAATATTTGCTTGTTAGGGGCATTGCAATTACTGAAAATTCAAAAACTAGTGTCCTAGTGGGTTTTTTTTCTGCGACGTTTTATGGGGAAATCGCTTCCTTCACCAAATAGAATTCAAGATTTTGCCAGAATAATCAACTCCAACAGAATCCACCACCCGACCCAAGTCAAACCCGCAACCAGAATTAGGTCAGTTCCATCACCTGTCGCCGCAAAGTCTAGGGCGGTGGTCGACGGCGATTCATCGGAGCGGCGGCTGAAGCTGAAGAAGAATATGGAAGAAGCAAGCTCTAACTCCAATTCCAATTCCAATACTTCTTCGTCAAACCAGCGGCGGCTACCCCTTGCTGACGTGGTGGCTGACTGTGTCAAGCGGTGGTTCCACGATACTCTCAAGGAGGCGAAAGCTGGTGACGCTAACATGCAAGTCCTTGTTGGTCAGATGTATTTTAGTGGCTATGGTATAGCCAGAGATGCACAAAAGGTGTTTGATTTTTGCTTCCTATGATCTTCTTACTTCCATTTATTCCTTGTCTCTTAGTTCAATTGTAGTTGCTCGTAGTTTTCTAAGAATCTAGAACTTGGTGATTTATGAATAACCTAGTGTAGAGATTTTTGTTTTCCATTGACAAGATATGAACAGAGAAAGCCACCATAGAACGTATTGTTGAAAGATCACAGCCTGATTTTAGAACTGCTCTTACACTTGAAGCTTTTGACACTCTTTGTGCTTATACAGGGTAAAGTTGAACTATTACCCCCTTTATCAAATGCTGAACCTTCTTAGCTATTCCAAGTAACAAGAGCTTTTTGGAGAGTAACCCGCACTACATAGCTCGCAAACCACGTAGGAGAGTAACCCGCACTTGGCAAGCCTGGTGCGACAAGCTCGACCCAGAAGGCAAACCCCTTGCTTACGCCGGCAAGGGGTTTCGAACTTGACACCTCCAACATGAAATATCTTTGAACATTCTAGCTCGTGTGTGCCTTATAAATACCACTAGAAGAAACCCATAATAAACATAAGAAACCCATCATGTGAAGATAGCAACAATCCAATTGAACTTTAACTCTTTAATAATTGAATATAAGGAAAAGAAATATTAGCATGATTTAAGTGCTTAGTTTATTCTTAATGAAGATACACATGATTAAGAGGATCTACCAACATTTACATGCTTGCTTATCTTCTCTGTAATCAAAGAAGTGAATAACCACAGTGTGCCTGTTCAATTTCATATATCTATTATTAGAAGTTGCCCAAAGTTTTCAAAGCAGTCAAAATAAAATAGTTCCGCTCTTTCCACTGCCCAGAAGTAGAGTTTTAGGTTTGTTTGAAACATTGACAGTTTTTCGGTTTTCTGTCTCTACTGCTGTCTCTGAGGATATTGGAAATGCTTCTACTGATTGGTCAATTTGGGTACAGGGAAGAGCTTGGATTACCCGAGCTTCAAAGAGTCGGTCATCGGCATGGAAAGTGAGTGATAAACGCCCAGGTATGTAGATTTTCTGTTTACTGATTTTATCGGTTTGCTATTTTTTATTGATTAACTTTTATATTGGTTTACTGTTATTGTGTGGTGTTCATCTTTTCTTCCTTTTTAGGCTATAATGCCAGTGATTCTGATTCTGATGATACTGTGGAGGACGCAAAGCAAAATTGAAGCTCTTTTCATGGGTTAAACAAGCTGTGGCATTGTAAGTTTCATTGCATTCATTCTAACAATAAAAAGAGGGTCCATTGACTTTGTTTCTTTCACTTTTATTATGCAAAGTCTTGTTCTATTTCTGATCTTAGTTGTTTGAAGGTTGTTGCACTTGCTAGGATATTGAACTCCGAATGTAGTAGTGTATGACAACGCTACTCTATCTAGATTCTTTGTTGTCTTCTTTAGCAGCAAGATGGGTCTGCTAAAAATCATAAAGTTCAGCTGTTTTATCTTGTGTACAAAATATCTCTATGATTTGAGAGTTTTTACAGTGTATGTGGGGTTGATGTATATTATATTTCGAGGGTGTGTATTAAGATGTTCTATTAATATTGAAATGAGATGGTCTCAACTTGCATGCAATTGTAAATACATCAAAACTTTGTACGGGAATTATTTTTGCACCAAAAGTATAAATGGAAGAAAAATGATCTCTTAGCCCTCCTTATGTGCTTTCCAATGACAACATACTAGTGAAATTCCACAGGTGGGGTTCCGGGAGGATGGAGTTTACATAGACCTTGTCTCTACCTCATGGAGGCCTGACGTGCTTTTCCATACCTTCAAAATTATGTCATTTCTTGTTTCTTGTGGAATTAACCAAAAAATGCAAGAAGGAGCTACACTCCACACTTCTTTCTTTCTGGAGTTAAGCTTCCTTGCCCAACTTGCAACAGCTTTTGCCACTGCCATAGGCTGTACCCATGATAAATTAAATATTGAATATGTTCCATTGCAGAATTGCAATATAGCAGCTGATTATCCTTCCCTTGTTTTTCTACACAAGCAACATCTACTCACTACATGGAATTTCACCCCATGAGTTATGTTTATTGAATTCCTCAACATACCTTAAAGCTGGAGACCCCAGAAATATTGAACCAGAAAAACTAAATACAAAAGAGAAGTTACAGGAAACCTAATAGATCAATGATCTGTTCTACTTTATCTATACATTCCTTTTTACACCAAAACTCATAGGATATAATACAATTTTATTTAACTTTCTGAATGCAAGCTGCGATTCTTCTCCACCACTTCTTTTGACTCTTGCTTCCTCCTCTCCTAATCCATCAACTCAACAGATCTGCAACATGTTTTGGCGTTGTCCATTTTATTTGTGAGACTTAAGAACAAGTGTGAGAAATATAAGAAAAGAATATTATTGAATTGTCGTTGGTTACATTATCACATTGGGACCTTATTTATAGACCCTAGAATACAATTCTTCACCGAGTAAGATACTATTTAGTATTCCTATTCCTATTCTAACACTCCCCCGCAAGCTAGTGCATACAATTCATGTACTTAGCTTGTTACAAATGTAATTAACGCGTGGACCGATGAGGGGCTTAGTGAGATATCTGATAGTTGATCACTCGACTTCACGAAATTGACGATCAATCTCAGTGTGCTTGGTCTTCTCATAAAATATTGAATTTGATGCAGAATGTCGATAAAACACAGTGAGATAAAATTACATTGTTGAACTTCCCAAACCAAGCTTGGAAACACTGTTTCGGACCATAGAGTGACTTACGTAATCAACATACAATGTCTACTGAATTCCCCTTCCCAACAAAATTAGGTGGTTGCTCCATATGGACTTCTTCACAATGCAACGGTTGCCGGAAGTGCTCAAAATCTAGTATAAAGTGTATGGATCATGTTGAAATTAATAGACGAGTCAATATTAGACAAGAAAGTCACTGAAAAATTGTCCGAAACATGCTCATATGCCGGAGTATTATATTTGATGGCTAAAAGTGGTCACAATCTAAGAAATAAAATTATATGGGTAGGGTTAGAATGGTGTCATGACCCTACTAGAATATATAAATTATATAGGATAGTTCGAAATGATGGGACAATCCCATTGAAAAAGGGATAGGGCCGGAATGATGACACGACCCTACTGGAAAAGAAAAATAATACGGGTAGGGTTGGAATGATGGCACAACCCTAAATCAGATTTGAGGAGTCACCGAAAAGGTGAATGGAACTATGAAAATCAAAATTTGAGGAGTCACTTAAAAGACATATGATGCTATGCAACTTAGATATGAGAAAATAGTTTGGAAAAAATTCAAGGTACTACAAATTAAATATAAAAAGTAGTTCGGAGAGATGTATGTTGCTACGCAAATCAAATTCGCGAAAACGGTAGACACCGGAAGAATGGCACGGTGCTACACTAATTACATATAAAAAAGTAGTCACTGGAATGATGACACAGTGCTACACAAACCAAATATGAAAAAGTAGTCACCAGGTGCTACACAAACTAAATATGAAAAGTGGTCATCAGAATGATGGCACGGTGCTACACAAATTAGATATAAGAAAGTAGTCACTGGAATGATGTCACGGTGCTACACAAATTAGATTTCAGAAAATAGTCACCAGAAAGATACACGGTGACCCTACTTTTGTTAACATAATCATTGGCCGAACGGGCGACATATTATTGAATTGTTGTTGTTTACATTATTACATTGAGACCCTATTTATGGACCCTAGTTTACAATCCTTTACCCAGTAAGATACTATTTAGTATTCCTATTCCTATTCCTATTCTAATAGGATTTTGTATAAATCTATTACTATTTTAATAGGATTGTATAAATCTATTCCTATTCTAACAATAAGGACTAAAGCTGGGTAGTTATCTTGCAGTGCAGAAGCAGATGGCTATTAGTTTCTTCTGCTTCATTACATAAGAAGCATCTAGATACTATTTGGAACCCCCTTCTTTTCAGAATTTCCTGTGCAAGGCATGCTTTCCTGGCCACCAGCCAAGAAAAGCATTTTACCTTAGTTGGTGCTGAAAAACATTACCTTAGTTGGTGCCAAGCTTTTTCAGATCTGCTTCCATGATTCTATCCGATATCCTGGCTGCTCCCTTCATTTTTTGTAGTTTACCACGATTAACTTGTTTCCATATGATTGTGTCGGGGATTGGAGTAGTGTCTTTGAAGCTGTTGATTTCTTGTAAGAGTTGAGCCAATCTATCCACTTCCAATCATTCAAACCTCTCCTGAAGGATATGTCCCACCAATGTCCCTCCCATGGCATTGGACCAATTATCAGCCCCAGGTTTGGTGCAAAAGGAGAATAGATTAGGATAGGAGTTCTCCAATGCCATCTGTCCTTTCCATATGTCTTCCAAAAAAAGAATTTTGTTTCCATTGCCTACCTTACAAGTGACATTATCTGAGAACTTTGGTCCACAAGGTCTTTATTGACCTCCAAACTGGGACTCCTTAAGTGTTAGTGACAGTATTGGTGCACCATGGACTGTTCTTCCCATACTTGTTTTGAATGACCTCTTTCCATAATGTTTGATGTTCTCCCTCATATCTCCATATCCATTTCATTATCAAGCATTCTGTGTTTTCAAAATTTCTTATACCAGGACCACCTGAAATCTTGTCCCCCCCCCCCCCCCCACAACCTCTACTTCCTAGCTATAAGAAGTTCCTTCTCAGTTTATCTAGCTTCTACACCGCTTCAGATGGTATGAGAAATAAGGCTAGAACATAAGTTGGCAAGGAATCTGACACAACATTTATTAAAATTAGTCTGCCCCCTAGTGATAAATATTGAGACTTCCACTTTGCTAGTTTTTTCTGTGTCTTTTCAACTACCCCAATCCCATATTTCCAGTTCTGTGTTTATTGCCCAAGGGCATGCCAAGTTAACTGTTGGCATCTGATCTGTTTAGCCCCTGCATCTTGGGAATAGGCTACTTTTCTTCCAATCCACACACAATCCAAACCTACTTCAAAGGTTACAAGAATCACCCTGATGTAGCTAATTTGTTCTGCTTTGGCTTCACAAGAAATTACTAGCAGATGATAGACTTCAAAAATTCTCACCTCACCTGATGCGAAGCTTGAAACCTTTCAATCACCTTTTTTTTTTCTGAAACTGGTAACTTTGTATATATTGATAGAAACAGATCAGTACATGGGCTGTACTAGGGCCATATTTACCTGTAAATCCAGATTCTATGTCTATAATGAATCTAAAACATCAATAATAGATACAGGATCATTAGACCAAATCTGATTACACCAAAAACATAGAATCCAGATACTATTCAATTCAATCTGTTCTATACTATTCTTTATGAGTCTATGTTGTCAAAAACCTAGCATTTATCTCCTTCCAGATTGTCCACCATATGCTTGCTGGTATGATTCTCCACCTACATCTGCTTCTTCCCTGAACCCAGCTTCTTTCCAGCTTTGAAGAAGATTGACAACAACAGCACATTTGAAGAGAATAGATTAGGAGAGGAGTTATTAAATACATACCCAGATAGATTGACGACAACTCATTGGAAATCCATCAGGTCCTGGTGCTTTGTCACTTGCAGATAATCTGATACATTCAAGAACTCTTCGTCTTCAAACTGTCTTTGTAACCATTCCTGCTCCTCTCTGTTTATGCCTTTGATCCGTTGAAGATTCAAGTCTGGCCTCCAAGTCATTGTTCCCTTGTAAAGAGTCTGATAGTAGTTCTGCATTTTCAGCTTTATAGAGAATCTGGATCCAAGATGGTAGCCCCATCATCACTTGAAGTGTCAATAGAGTCAAGTCTCTTATGCTCTGTAGCAATTATGTGAAAATATTTGGTATTCTTATCCCCACTTTTCAAACATTGTACTCGAGGCCTCTTCCTCAATGCTATTCCTCATTCTTTGTTACCTTAGACTCCATAGCCAAATGACCTTTTTGAAGAAGCTCATCATTAGTAAGTGATCTATGCTCCAGGATGCTTTCCAGACTAGAGAATTGATTGAGAACCATTGTGTCACCCTCAAACATGGAATGCTTGTTCCACCCTTCCAACCTCATTTTGATTCTCTGTATGACTGTATCACTGTGTCACTGGTAGTCTTAGTTCAGTGTTCTTCAATTTTCCTTCTGGAGATAGGCCCATATATTATGATAATATCTATCAACGATGACAATAGATCTATTTCATCTACTCTAATCGATCAATAAATCTGTATTACAGTTGCTAATTAGCTGGAGGCGCTATATGAATCATCTGTAAACTTTATTTTTAGGGTGTTTGTATTGGCTTTTAAAAAGTGACTTGAAGGCGACTGCCAGCACTGATTCAGACACACATGTGGGCGGTTGAGTACTAGGTTGATTTGATCAGAAAAAAGTAGTATACCTCCGACTGAATAAATATCGTGTTCTCCTTTGCTTCTATGAAGGAAAGCGGTATGCATAGGAAAGCACAAGTTCCGAGTAAGTGGCTTTAAAATCTTCTCTTGTACCTGGACTGTCGGCTTATATCTTCGACTTAGTTGGAAAACCATCCTATCGCTAAATAGCAAGGTATAAGTTAAAAGTCAAAAGTCATAAGTTGGGACACCCAACTTGTGACTTTTTTTTTTTAACCTTTTCAGTTTGAAAGTGCGTAAAACAACTTTTTGTGTTATCCAAACACTTCCAAAACCAAAAAATGGTTTAAAAGCCAAAAGTGACTAAAAATAAGTCACTCCAAACACCCACTTAATATGAATCTGAATATTTATCTTTTAAGGCAGTTTGGGTTCTCTATAATTAGAATTCTCTAAATCTCACACTTGCCTGTACTCAAACATACAGTTAAAACCAGAATAAAAAGATTCTTGGCAGACATATGGTCAAATGCAACTCTGGAGAATCTTGTAGTGGATAATCGATGATATTTTCACATCTTATATTTTTCCCCAAGTTCTTCCTGAATAGGATGTATAACCAGAAATTCCAATGCAATTATCATCAACCTTTTGATGTTAATTAGTAATGCTGGTGTATCACATCTCATTCTAGAGCCTATTATCTCATTAGCAAGTATACTTGCATCCAGAGTTACTCTCCTTTACAAAGGAGCATTCTGATTGTTAGATGTGAGCTTATTATATCCATTACCCACCTCAGTTTTACCGACAACAACTCTGCCACAATCTTCTACATCCTTACCAGAGTTCTAAGTTGAAAATCTTTACTATACACCCCCCCTCCTCCCCTTCCTGGAATCATGATTATATGAGTAACTAAAGTTTCTCTCTGTCCAAGGGTGACAGATTTTGAAAGATTCTTTTATGAGGAATAGTACTGTGAGGGTGCTAGATTTAAGCTATTAGGGTGACATATTACCAACCATCTCTGTTCTAGCAAGCTAAAACTTCCTGTGTACTCCTTAGCATAGTCCACTTGATTCCTCTCAAGTTGATGACGATCTGCCATAATTGATCCGTCAGTTTACAGTGTAAAGTGAGATTGTTTACTGACTCTGCTTCTGCTTCCTCACCACACCAAGAATATCTGGAACAGAAGACCCCTTTCAATAAGCGTATCTTGAGTTAAGACAACTTGTCTTGCCAATAACAATGTGAAGCATGCTACATTGTGTGGGATTTTGACTTCATATATATATATATATAAACCTATGTTGCTTGGACTCTTCAAAAATGTCAATGGGTGCATGTTAGATTCGCCAAAAGTAGTGTATTTTAGGAGAATTCGACACGGGTGCAATATCATAATTGAAGAGTCCGCGCAACTAAGCTGGAAACAGTTATAAACAGATTTAACAGAGAATCCTCCCAGCTAGTCTTTCATCTAATTAAGCTGTCTTCATTTGTGGTGAGATCTTGGACCTGTTCCTGAGTCTTGTAGAATTCTGTCAATCTATCAACTTTCCAGTTGTTAAGAAGTCTTCTGAAATTGAAATTCCTTGGGGTTGTCCCTTACCTCCATAACTGTGAAATTCTCTGCTGGCTCAAAAAGTGAAGGTCAGGAAATAGAGACTTCAAATAGTGTTTGACCTGACCGGATATCATCCCAGAATAAGGTCTTCCTTGCCTCTACTTCTAATCTTGGAATTTTTAATAATTTTGGGCTACGTATTCCTAATTGATCTCCATAAGCCAACACCATCTGGACTCTGGAGTCATAGGTGCCTTGGTGGTGGTCCAGTAACCATCCCCATCCCATACCTTGTTGTAATAGTTTTTTTCCATAGAGATTTTTCCACAGTTGCAAATTTTCCATAGCCATTTTGATAGGAGGCTATAGAATTGTGATTTCAGATTTCTTATTCCCATTCCACCTTCCTCCTTGCGAGTTATAATAGATTCCCACTTTACTAAATGCATCTTCCTGTTCTCACAATTTCAGAGAAAATTCCTTCCGATTTCATCCAGTTTCCTGATAACATGCCAGTATTCATTGGCATGGGGAATAAGGACATCATATAAATTGGCATTGTTGATTATAGTCAATCTACCTCCAAAAGAGTGATATTGACTCTTCCAATAGACAAGTTTCTACATTTCTCTAAGATAGCATTCCAAATACTTTGCGACTTACTCTTAGCACCCATGGGCATGCCGAGGTAAGTATTAGGCAGTTTTCCTATCTCCCTCCCAAAATTTTTGGCCAGACTGTTAATTCCTTGAACCTCATTAATTGGGTAAACAAGACTTTTCCCCTAGTTGACATGAAGTCCAGAAATAGCTTCAAACAAAATGAATATAACACTCAAATGTTTCATTTGGTAACTATTTACATCACAAAGCACCAATGTATCATTAGCATATTGAAGGTGGGAAATAGACAGACCAAGACCATCTCCAGGCTTAACATTTAAACCCCTGATCCAATTATTAACCTGAGCTGTTCCCAACATTTCATTTGACCTTCCATTGCCAAAATAAAGAGAAAAGGGTAGAGAGGATCCCCTTGTATGAGGCCTCTCTTAGAAGAGAAAAAACTAAATGGTGATCAAGATTGAGAAATTTACTGTGTTACAGCAGAACTTTATCCAATTAATCCGTGTATTACCATAGCCCTTCTTATCTAATGTCCTCCATAAGATGCCTAGTTAAGATGATCATAAGCCTTCTCATCATAACTAACATAAGATGCCAGGGGCCTTTGTAATTTTTCTCACACCACACATTCATTAGCTACTAAAATGACATCCATGGATGAATGCCAGCTGCTGGCTGTCCACCAACTTTGACACTACCTTCTTGAGTTTCAGGCAGGATTTTTGAGATAATTTTCTAAATGCTTTATCAGTAGGTCTAAAATCCTTCAACTCTTTAACCCCCCACATTTTTGGTATCAGTACAATGAAAGTAGCATTGGAACTTTTTTCGAAGTAACCTTGGTCATAAAATTCTAAACAAGAGCCACCACTTCACTACTCATCAGCTCCCAACAGTGAATAAAGAATGCCATAGAGAAGCCATCAGGGCAAGGGCCTTGTTCCCAGGACATGCCATTACAGAGTCTTTAATTTCCCGTTTCCCAAATTGACTGAAGCATATTATTATCGTCCTCATTGATCATAGGCTCTGCATCGGTATTATAGAGTGATCTCCATGCCTTTGTTTCTTTGTGAAGATTCTGGTGGAAATTGATAGTCTCCTTTGATCTCTAAGGGTTCATCTAAGGTAGTTTCTTTACTAACCAACCTATCAATGTTATTAAACCTTCTATGACAGTTTACAGTTCTATGAAATGATTTGGTGTTTTTGTCCCCTTCTTTAAGCCACCATGCCCTTGATCTTTGTCTCCAGACCACTTCCTCCTGTTTTGCATTTTCCTCAAACTCCATTGTCAGGGCAGCCCTCAAGTAAGCCTCATCATCTATCAGTAACTTTTGGTCTTGAATCTCTTAAGATATGGTTCATTACTCTCACGGAACTAGATGCATTAGTTAAGTCAAAATGCATCACTAACAATCATATATACCATACTTGGCCTTAAGCAGTTCTCCATTCATCACAAGGATTCACTATAATTTGATGGTAACTACTCCTCAAATTAATTTTGGAGAAGACTTCAGAACCATGCCATTGATGATGGATCTAACATGTTATAAGACGAAGAATAAGATGACAATACTTTACCATTATTTAATTCATGGCGCAACCTTCCCCATACATACTCCAAGTTCCGTCCTTTGCATCAATTTGGCTAATGCATAGTATGTAATATGTACTCGTGTTCCTTTTTTTTCCATACTTTTTTCAAAAAGCTCCCCAAATTGTCTTTGCAGATCCTTTGTTTCTTCAGGATTGCTCCTACATGAAGAGGCCTATTTGGAATTTGAGATGCAGTCACAAAATCAATTTGATGTTCTATTCCTCTTAAAGGTGGTAAATCCTTAGGAAATACATTTTCAAAATCATACAAAACATTGGAAATAGAAGTACGTGAAGAAAGAAATGAATTCATTAGAATTAAACAAATCTCTACATGCAAGGAGTATTTGGACTACCCTCTTTCTTACACTCAACCATTCTGATTATTATGTATAGATTTTTTATTTTTTTGGTTCCTATATTTTTGTCAAACCCCCTTGTTTCTTTTCTCTCTTGTTGCTGCCTCTTTCCTGGCTGTTTTTTTTTCTCGGCCCTCTTTTCTTTTTTGCTTCCTCCCGCTTGTTTTCTCACTGTTCCCTTCCATCTTGTTGATCTTGACAAACTTGGGATGGATTAAAGTAGCTGGTGTACATTTCTCTTTAAATTGATGGGTTTTGAACAAATTAGAGGACTTTGTGTTTGTTGTTTTCTGGTGTTGCGTTTTTAGAATGTTTAAAAGATAGGTTCTCAAGTGTGTTGTTCCCTTTATGCTTAAAAACTATTTATGCTTCCTATGTTGCTAAATTATTTGTAAAAGAAGTTAAATTGCATGGTACACCTTGAACTATTGCTAGTGCTAAGGATGGGAAGTTGTTGAGCCACTTTTGATGTGTATTTGCCACTAAGTTATTTTCTACTCCCTCCGTCCCATATTAGTGGTCCACCTTACTATAAATAGTTGTTCCAAATTACGGAAGTGGACAACTAATATGGGATGGAGGGAGTACTTCTTATCATGCACAATATGTGTGCTCCATTAAGCACATATCACACAAACATACTTATCTGAAAGAAATAGAAAAATTATATGCCACATCACACAGAGATTGCGTGCTTGAGTTTGTTTGATCTGATTGCATATATTTGACCTTTTCCCCTACATTTGAAGAAAGTTTTTGTTAATTTTATTTAATAATATTAACTATATCACCATACAATATGATTCACCATGTAGTGTTCAACAATAAAATGTAATGTTGATTATGTGTGGATCCACAGATAATTTATTTGTTTTGAATGAATCCCCCCATTAAACCTAACCTGTGACCCACCAAACCAAAACCCAAACCAAATACGCAAGTGTGTATGTTAAAGGCTTTAGATAAAGTTGCTTAAAAGGGATTTAAGATGGAACAAACTGGACAATTTTGTCCTTCTGCTAGAGATTCATTTTTTAAGTGTGGCTATCTTTTGCTCCACCATTTGTGACAATTTCTCTCTGTTGATAAAGTAAGAGACTATAATTTGCTCATTTGCAATTTTAGTCGAGTCCACACTAGTTTCTCAATGTCTTTTGATTCATTTTATGCATCACCAGTTTGCCCACTCATTCGGAAAGCAAATTAAGTTGGTTTTGATTTTTGGGTATTTATGAGATTGTTGCTTTACTGAGTAAAACATGAGCATTTTTACTGTTGTAAAAAACGAAGAGCACTTGCTTTTTCCGTCTTTGTGATATCTGTTGTCATTCTTGGTTGGGTAACTCCCATTTGTGAAGTATCATTTATGAGTCTCCATCAAGTAATGCAGAAGGGGCAACTGTTGGGGGTATTTTCTGTTGCTTGTATCAGAACAAATGATATCCTAATACATGTGTGATGTGTCATTAGGAAGCAAAGTGTGCAGGATATGATGGTGGAAATACAACTATTAGCTGCAATTGTTAGAGGTCTAGGCAACAACTACTTTTTTTTCCCAGCTGTGTACTGTAGCCTCTTTTCTTTTATAGTAGTCTCTTTTGGGGTTGATGAGGGGCAGAGTCTGGTTGCTTATCCAATCATCAGTAGAAATGGAGCAAAATGTTAAATTGTACTCGCATGTTTTAGCATCCTTCTCAAATTTCTTCTGCGTATGTGCACGCCATAATTTTCATGCCTGGAACTTTATATCCTACAATACACTAATTAGAATTTGTTTTATGCAGTGTATTTTTGTGCTATCCATATGCGAGCCGTCAGTACCTTGCAGTTTGGTAACAGACATTCAACTGGACCTGCTGTTCTGATCTCCATGATATCTTTTTTTTTATTCACTTGAAGTACTCCATGTCCATAGTTCTGACTGGACTGTTAGCAAATAACATTATTTTTAATTAGTTTTGGTTTTCGTTGTGTCATTGGTGGTTTGATCTTGTAATTCTGGTTTAACTGGGAAGAAAACTGAAAAAGGTGATTATTCTTTGTTTAGTTCGTCAAGCCAGCTTCAGTGGATTTTGCTTTCAAGTCATGTTTGTTAGAGAGTTGTCCAACTGCAGCAAACATTGGTATATTTTGTAGTTTATTTTGGTACAGGAAGCTAAGTTAGGTTGCTTAACTATGAATGACGAATAAAAAGAGGAAGAGGAAAACGTTTTGATGGTCATAGATATAGAAGCACCTGAGAAATAGATATACAATATACCACAAGGATGCCCAAGTACACACTAAATTTGGCTTCCTTGGTATTAAATTACTAGGAGATGTAGCTTCTTCATTGCAACTCCTCTATATTAACACAATTTGACAATCGAATACAACAACATTACTGTGACTTCCTTGTGCCTATAATGTTTTAGGGCAACTCTCTGTTGAAGTAGTTATTCATGAACGTTGGTTTTCGCGTTTCTGTTTCCTCCACTCCCATGGCATTTCAGGATTTCTGGATGCCCACAGGCCAATTCGTTTTGCTCGAGCTTCTTTCTCCCACTTAAACCATAGAGAAATATATTAAGAAAAAATTGGTTTGGTCGTCTGTCTATAGCGAAATAAATATGCAGATTACCTTATCTAACTCTGGACGCTTGTCATACGCAGTATAGTGCCAGGCCAAGCCCTTCTTTAACATCACTTCCTACTTGAGAAGCCAACTTAGAAGTGGAAGAGCCTAAATTGAATAACTGAGAGAAGAAGGAATGGTCAATACCTGTGCAAATATGCCATTGCAGTATATATCCCCTACATAGCGGCCATAACGATCTTCATCAAAAACTAAGACCCTTAAACTCTTACCCTGGAGAACTTTAGTCAGTTCTTCCTTGGCCTCTTTACCATATGGCATTGCACTTTCTGGTGCATCTATCCCCCTGATTTCTTCTTCATTCGTTATTACCAATTTCACAAATTATATATATAGAAATTAAAGATCTCCAAGTGTCTTAATACCTTAATCTGATTCTATATTTTCGAGCAAGAACTTCCTCATGGTTCACTGGTATTGACCTGTGACAGAATCTCAACAAAATGGTTGAAATGAAAGTTAAAGAAGAGACCAAGGTATGCTTTATGCAACTTACCTATATCCTGAATCTATGATCTGTTTGTGCAGTTGATCTGCTTTTGCATAATTTTTCTGAGCCCGTGCCTTTGATCTTTGAATAGCTGCATTTTGCACGTCTCTTGGGAGACATGATGCCTCTCTAGGATCTGTTGTACTAACATATACAGTTACTGTATCTCCGTCTGCCACAGCCTTTGCGTCCACCTAGCACATACATTCTACGAGTATTACAATACTAATTTTGAAGATTCAGAGGCTAAGCAAGTTTCGATATTCTTACAGGGAGAGTATGCAATTCAAACTTGAGCCCTTGTTGGTGTGATGGAGGAGTGCCATCACTAGTTAGTTCTACTAAGGAGTGAGGAAGAGGAAGACCATAGAAAGCCAGTAACCCCTGAAATCAATTTTGCTAACACATTATAACAAGTTGTTGAGTGTTAGGGAAATTCAGTACTAAGTTACAAACCTCAACATCTGCTTTTTGATGTCTCTTCAAGGTCTGAATGACAAACCTTGAAGCTTCTTCGGGTGTTTTAGGAGGAGGCTTTGTTTCTCTCCACGCATCCGAAAGTTTCTTAAACCTTCATTTATCACCAAAAATGTACAATTTAGGGAGAAATCAAACAGCTACTACTCCCAATTCTCTAAAGTTTTACCAGTTAGATTGCGCCTTCTTGGATGATACAACATGCGTACTTAGTCCTTGAGGAACCTAAAGAAACAAAAATTGAGAAACCCAGATAGGATCTTTCAAAAAATAAAAAAAATTGTAATTGTTGAACGTCAATTACCTGTGAGTTGATTTCAAAGTTGTAGAGATCGTGTGCTAAAGCGGAAACGCCAGGATGATGGGTGAGGGAATCAGAGTCTGCTGAAGGTTTGCAGCAATTAACATACAAAGATCTTAGAGCGTTTCCCATTCTTCGGATCTAAATTATTCCCAAACAGAGATTATTATTATTATTGAGCTTTTTAGGTTAGAAGAAGAAGAATCTTTTGTTAGATCAAATTTAGGAACCAATCACGAAGAAGTAGGTAACGTATTCCGTTTATAACGATACGTAGTATCTACACTTCAATCTAATTTGCGGGTCAACGACTCAACGGTCCTTTAATTTTGCAACATTTCGTGTCCTCTTATCAATTTTAATTTCACTCTTGCATCCACGGCCGACCTATCTTGGTTCAAACGGGTTAATATGAATTGGAAAATGATTAAATGTTTGTTATTTAGAGGTGATATATTTTCTTTAAGAAAGTGACACATATATATGTACTTTTTTTTCTTTAATTGAAGTAAATCAATTTTTAATATTTTTACTAAAATTATTTATGGAGACGTTTACTTGATCATTTTCACCCTTTTTTTTAATTCAGCGGTTGAATTTATTATTTTTATGGTCAAATTTTATTTTATTTCACTTATTTTCTTGTACCCACAATTTTTTTTATAGAGATATAACAACTAGATTACAATTATCTCTTTTTCATTTGCATCTCTTTTCTTTTATTTCTCTTATTTTTACACTAAAAAAAGAAACAAACAAACAATGAAATAAGAATAAGAGTTCAAATAATAATGATCAAAAAAGTCAAAAAATATTTTTTTATGTAAGAAAAGTCAAATATGTAATTTCTAAAAAAATTCAAAAATTAATTTATAGTTAATTTTATCATTTTTGTAATGGTAGGAGTTACGTGAGCTACTTTTGTAACAAAATATGTGAGCCAATTTTGTACGATAGGGGCATGGGTGGAGCTACAGACAAGCAAAGGTGGTCAATCGAACACCCTTTGCCCAAAAAATTAAATCGTGTATATAGATAAAATAAAGAGGCTTCTTTTATAGATTTATAGAGTTGAAGTGTCGCTTCAGTGTGCAATGAGTATCTACTGTGACGCTTGACATGAAATTGATTGGAGGCAGATTGACACAATGCTCGAGATTGTGATTCTTGATGACCTAAGAGTTATTATGAGAGTGTCCATCTATATGACACATTTGATATTTTTTCCTAAGTCCTCAATGTCTTTTGATGTGTTTTTCTATAGTTTTATAGGTATTTGTGTAGGGTTTCGGCCCCTTTTTTTTAAAGTCTTACTTTGATACAATTACATACCAACTAATCTTACCAAAAAATAGTATTTTATGAATGTCAATGGTAACATTATTAGGAGTAGATTTCTCGTATGAATAGAGAGCCTTTGTTCATTTCAAACCTACACCAATGCACAGAGAAAGAGAGTTGTGAGGTTAAGAAAATAGTCTATGAAGAAAAATAGAGTGTGAGCGATATTTTTAGTAAGTTGAAAAATTAAAAGAGTGTTATTCCTTTGGAATGTGTAGTAGTTATTTTGAATATTGTATTTGTGACTACACATTGTAAAAATTATTGTTATTGTGATAATAGTTGTTCCTCTTGGCCAGTGATTTTTCCCTAATTTAAAAGGATTTTCACATAAAATTTTTGGTTTCATTATTTTTTCATTTTAGTTTTATTATTTGACCATATGTATTTTTGTGTTAGTCTGTGTTTTCCTAACAAACTAGTATTAGAGTCAAGGTTTCAGCAGAGTATAATCTGTGGTTGCAGCACATCTGAATTTTCAAATCAGAAAAAATAATTTTGATTTGTAATAACTATATTTCTTTTTGGAGGGGGTGGTGGTGGTGGTGGTAGAAGTCAACACAAATTGAATGGTTACTTTGGATGATGTTAATTATGTCATTTGGAAGGGGGAATTGAAGATCTACTTTATGTCAAGAATTTTTACAAATCAATTTTTACCACTGTAAAACCTCATAATAAAACAGATTAAGAGTAGATTCATTAGGCAATGGGTTGACGATAATCTGTTGAACCATATTTCTCGAGATACACATGCTCGAACCTTATGGGAGCATATTGAAAGTTTGTATACTCGAAAGACTGGTAACAACAAAATGTTCTTAATAAAGAAGATGTTGAGTTTAAAGTATCATGATGGTTCTACGATGACCGACCATCTGAATAATTTTCAGGGGATCATGAACCAATTATCTACTGTGGGCATCAAATTTTATGAAGAAATGCAAGACTTGCTTCTATTTGATTTTTTATCAAACTCTTGGGAAACATTTAAAACTTTATTGTCAAATTCTGCTTCGGATGTTGTGATCTTTATGAATTTCGCCAAAAGTAGTGTCTTGAACAAAGAGATAAGAAGAAAATTCTCTAGATTATTCTTTGTCAAATGTATGGAGAAACAAAACTCGTGGTACTCAAAATACAGAAAAAAAATAAGGAGAACATTTAGAGCCAAACTTAAGAATATTGAGTGTTATCATTGTGACATTAAAAGACACACAAATAAGTTTTGCAGAGATTTGAGGAGGGAGAGCAAAAAAAAAAAGAGTACAGTAAAGAAGTTGTCATTGAAAATTGCCTAGTCACAGTCACCAATGAGATTTTGTTACCGTCCTTGATGCAGATATGATAAATATTGCTTGTGATGAGTCAAGGTGGTTTGTGGACACTGGTACCGCATCTCATGTGACATTAAGGAAGGATTTTTTTTCTCATACTCCTAGTGATTTTGGAACCTTGAGTATGGGTAATGAGACTATTCTAGGGTGGTTGGTATTTGTACAATTTGTTTGGAAACTAGTGTTGGAACTAAACTAGTTTTGAACAATGTAAAACAGGCTCCTGATGTTTGTCTGCACCTAATTTCTATTGCTGTTTTGGACGATGAAGGATATGTTGGTACCAAAGGTGATGGAAAATGGAAACCCACTATGGGTTCCTTGGTTGTGGGTCGTGGTAACAAATATCATGATCTATACTGGAGTACATCTTCTGCTTTTGTTGATATAATGAATGCGATGAGAGCGATAACTCTTCAACATTATGGCACAAGAGGCTTAGCCACATCAGCGAGAAGGAACTTA